TACGGCTACTACTACTACTGTGCCTACTACTACAACTACGACTCCTACTACTACTACTACTACTACTACTACTACGGCTATTTGTACGACGACGATTACCATCACTTCTACTGCTACTAGAATTACGAGCCCTGTTACCACTATTGCTACTACTACTACTACTACGACTGCTACGTTGAGTTGTTTTGTTATTTCTTTTACTACGACTTCGACTACAAACAAACAAGTTACTACTACTACCACTACTGGTATTACTATTGCTATTACTACTACTACTACTACTACTACTGCGTACTACTATTTCTTTTACTCCTGTTACTACTACGATTACTTCTACTATTCAATCTGCTCTTAGTACTCATTCTACGATTGCGACCACTGCTTCTATTACTACACCTACAACAACAGCAACTACTACTACTACTACTACTACTACTACTACTATTACTACTACTACTACTACTACGACGTCAACTACTATTACTATTACTACTACTACGACTACTACTACTATTGGTATTCGTGTGAATACTACGACTACTAGTACTTTTACTACTACTACTACTACGACTACTACTAATCTAAATTTCTACTACTATTACTACTGTTACTACTACTACTACTACTACTATTACTACTACTACTACTACTAACCAGTACTACTACTACTACTACTACTACCACTACTACTACTACTACTACTACTTCGACCACTACCACTACTACTACTTCTACTTTTACTACTACTACTACTACGACTACTACGACGACATACTACTACTACTACCACTACTACTACTGCTACTATTACTTCTACTACTACTACCACTACTACTACTACTGCTACTACTACTACGACGACTACTACTATACTACTACTACTACTACTATCACTACTACTACTACTACTATTACTACTACTACTACTACTACTACTACCAATAATAATAATACGACGACGACTACTACTACTACTACTACTACTACTACGACGACGACGACTACTACTACTACTCCTACTACTACTACTACAATTACTACTACCACTACTCTTAAGACAGTGCTTACTACTGCGACTCGCTTTCCTTCTACTCTATATCCGTCCTCATCCTTTGTCCTTGCTCCCCCTCCCTCCCGCTCTCTTCCGTGTCCTCCCTTCTCCTCCCTTCTTTCTTCTTTTTTTCTCCTTACTCCCTCCCTCCTCCCACTCCGCCTCCGCCCCCTTCTCCTCGTCTTTCCCCCACCTTTCCCTGCCTCCCCCTCCATGCCCTTCCTCCCCCCCCCTCCTCCCCTCACTGCCTCCCCCTCCCCGTCGCCCCAGCACCCCGGCGCCGCCCCCGCCCCGCGGCGCCCCGAGCGGGCGCCCGCGCGGGCGCTCGGCGGGCCCCCCCCCGCGCGCCATGGTCTCGAGACGCGCCAGTGGGCGTCCCTCTTCGAGGCGCCGCGCCCCGCCCTCGCAGGGCTCCGCGCGCGCCTCCGCCTCGATCCGGTTTGATGTTTCGATCGACTGCAGACTCGGCTTCCTCCGCCTTCTCCTCCTCCTCCTCCTCCTTCTCCTCCTCCTCCCTCTCCTCCTCCTCCTCCTATCCTCCTCACCCTCCCCCTCCTCCTCTCCTCCTCCTCCCTCCTCCTCCTCCTCCTCCTCCTCCTCCTCCTCCTCGGAAGGGGACTCGGCATCGCCGCGTCGCTCGGGGTGGGCCCGACTCCGAGTCGGCCTCGGCTCCAGGGGTTCCTCCAGACTCCGGCTTCTTAGCGGAGGCCTTGCCAGGCCGCCGACCTCTGCCGGTGCGACTGCTCCCGGGGGTGGCTGCCGATGCATGCCCATCCGCTTCATGTCGATCGCCGATCCGGCTTGCTGGGTCGGCTCGAGGCCGGGCTCGCTCGCCCTCGAGGCGGCTGGCGGCGACGGACGGGGCAGGACTCTTGGATTGCGACGCTGATGAAGCCGACAGCCTGTCAGCAGAGCGTTGTGGAGGACGATCAATGGAGAGGAAGCGTGTTGCCAAATAATTTCAAGATGCCTAAAACATGTGTTAAACAGGTTCTAAACATGCGAAACATATGTTTAAAACATGTTCATAACATTTTCCCGACATTTCAAACACATTTTAAATTCAATGATAGGACTGTCAGGGTGTCCATTGTCGTGGCATCCACAAGCAGAGCGCGACGCTGCAACCAACAGAACAGTTTGCGCAGGACCCCGCAGTAGCGGAGGGGGGCGCGCTCGGGGTGGGTCGCGGGTGGGTCGCCGGGTGGGTCGCAGGGTGGGTCGTGGGTGGGTGGGTCGCGGGTGGGTGGGTCGCGGGTGGGTGGGTCGCGGGTGGGTCGCGGTGTGGGTCGCGGGTTGGTCGCGGGCGGTTCGCGGGACATGACGACGACAACAACAAACAATGAACAGCGACAGCAATCATCCGGGCTCCAGAATCCCCTTTCACCCACGCACCCAGGGACAATGACTGACCGCTCAGTCCTCCCATTCTGAAAAGCAAATTCTGCGCTGGCACCAAGGACGCAGGCACAGTGAACAAAACAGCTCGAGGTAGGGCAACACTACACTACAGATCGTGTCTCAAGATGACATGCAGCGAGGGGTGGTCCTGGTGTGACACTGGCGAGGTGCCCCTTCGCCAAGCAAAGGCCGTAACCCCGCTTCTCAGACAAGGTGGCAGGAGGGAGGGAGGAGGAGGATCATGGCGATCGAAGCTTCCTCATGCAAGGAACGGGGCCGAAGATCGGCAGCAGTTGCTGCCCACTCCGAGCAGTGTTCGGTGGCGATGCCGCCGCGGGCGCTGTCCATTTGAGACGAAAGGTCGCTTGCCCAACAGCGGCCGGTGCGCACGGGGCCTCCTATTTCCGGACGTGTCCCTTTCGGGTATGTGCAGCAGACTGGGAGCAGGAAAAGGAGGAAGCCTCTTGCTCCTGCTCCATGTCCTCCGTTTCCTTGTCCAGCTCCTCATCCTCCGCCGCCTGCTGCTTCTCAGGAAGAGGAGAAGGAGGAGGAGGAGGGATGAGGAGGAGGACCAGTGTAGACCAAACATGCGCAAACGATGTTGCAATTCACCCTCCCCTCCCCAGTCTTCGTCCTCATACGCCCCTACAAGTTCTGTTTCACGGAATTCAGCCTGCCATTTCGGCGAGGGCCCCAATGTGAAGAGGAGTTGCGTTGTATCTACCTTGCGCGTTGCCAGCAGCGCGGGAGATACAATGATCACACAGTTTAGGGAGGTCTCCAGCGATACCCCCCTTTCCAAGTACCGCCTTCCCCAGTCGTGTCACTCATCCACAGGTAACCAAGAAAGTATTGAGCGATAGCTCCACCATTTACAGAACAGCCGTGCATCTGGGAAGCCCTACCTACTTTGAGGTATCCAGTCCGTAAACTTAACGAAGTCTCAGGCGAGAGCTCCATTGTGAAAGAGAGCAGCCCTCCGTTCTACTAAACGTGTTGGGGATGCTCGAAACAGAAACAGCGTTCGCGCGGCGCTGAGACGAGGGCGCTTGCGTGCTCCATCCGTGAAGCCAGAGTAAACTTGTAAACCGCATGCACTCGGCTTGAACTGTCCTCCTTTTTCCACCGATGGAGCTGCTTTACCTTTTCTCACGCACGTGCGTGGAGCTGAGGCGAGAACCAGATTTTGAAGGCGCCCGCCCCTCCTTCCGTTAAACTGATGCAACACGTCGGAGACGAATGTTCGTGGCGCGATTGCGAAGACAACGGTACCCATCTCGAACAGTGAAACTGGCAAACCCTTTTGAAGACGATGTTTTGCTATGATCAGGTGAGGGAACCATGGTGAACAGTAACACCACCGTGCATCCGTGAAGCTACCTCAATTTGCTCAAGACGAATGTGCGCACGAATTTACATGTTGACCCCACCCGTAAAAGTCGCAAGCTTCTAAGACGAACGTGCGCGGCGCTACGCCGATAGCCACATCGCACACTCCCCGAGGACGTGCAGGTAGGGGCAGGAGTAGGGGGGAAGAGGAGGAGTAAGATAGATCCTGATCCTGATCCGTTGGAGGTCACCGCCGAGCAAGAACGGCCAACTCTTGCGCCCGCAAGCGAGGAGGATGGAGGCAGAGGAGGGGTAAGAGAGAGGAGGCAGCAGGGCGGGGGGGAAGGAGGCCAAGGAGCGAGGGAGGTGGACGGGAGATGCTGGGGACCCCTTCCCCTCTCCCTTTCCGCCCTTGAGGGGCGGAGGACCTTCAGACCCGGGCGCCGCGAAGACAGCACAGGTGCGGCGGCCGGCTTCTGGGAGCCCTCGGCCTGGAGGCCACTTCCTGGCCCCAGGACCGTCCAAGCACCTGCTCAGGGTGAAGGGCTGGCCTCGGGGAAGTGGTCTTACCAGCCTGGAACATACCCCTATCCCTATGCTGGGCACCTCCTAAGGGATTCCCTTATTTAATCGCTTCGCTCATTCCGCCGGCCCATATTGTCGCACCGTTGTGGGCTAGCCGAGTTTTGGGGCCTCTTGGGGGCCGTTTTGGGGCCTCTTGGGGCCTCTTTTGGGCCTCTTGGGCGCCTCTTGGGGCGTCTTGGGGGCCTCTTGGGGGCCTCTTGGGGCCTTTTTGGGGCCTCCTGGGCGCCTTCTGGGGCGGAGGGCTCGATTTTTCAGTTCTCGGTTCCCCTCTTGAGCCCCTCTTGGGCCCGTCTTGGGGCCTCTTGGTCCGTCTTGGGCGGCACTTGGGCCGTCTTGGGGGCCCTCCTGGGCCGTTCCGGGGCCGTCTTGGGAGCCTCGTGGGCCATCTTGGAGCGGTCTTGGGGGCCTCTTGGGCCGTCTTGGAGCGTCCGGAAGCCGAAAAAACCATAAACGCAAAAAACATAGAAAAAACAAAGAAAATCAACGATTTTGGCCTCTTGGGGCCCTCTTCGGAGGCCTCTTGGAAGGCCCTTCGGGCGTCTTGGAGGCCTCTTGGGCTGTCTTGGGGCCCTGTTGGGCGTCTTCGGGCGATCTTTGGCCGTCTCGGGGCCCTCTTGGACCGTCTTGGAGGCTTCTTGGGGACCTCTTGGCCCGTCCTGGGGCCCTGTAACAGAACTCCGGCATCCCTATCCCTATGCTGGGCACCTCCTAAGGGATTCCCTTATTTTTTGAGGGCGAATCCCTAAGATTGTCATCGCCTTTGGCGTGTTAATCTTAGGGATAGGGATACGTTCGAGGCTGGTAATGGTCGAGGAGGCGGCAGAAGACGAGCATCGTTAGAACAGTCCCCGTCCCCACAGTCCAGCACCGACCCAAGACATCCGCGCGGAGTTCCGAAAATTTGAAAGATGGCCGCGCGAAGCTCCAATCTGCTTAAGACTTCTAGGAGAGTGGCTACATGCGACCCTGTTTGCTTAGATGTATTCGTTGTGTTGTTTTTGTTCTGCGCTCGGTTTCGTCGTTTTCTGCTGGTGCCTCTGCGGTATGAGCCACCTGTTCGCTCCAGGATCCGTCTACAGTGATGATTATTGCTTACGATTCGCGAATCCCCGCTAGCCCTGGCAGTGCAGCTACCCTGGCAGCCACCGTCGGCAGCCTGCCTCCACTCGCCGGCCTGGCCGCCGAGGTGCCGCGTGAGGTTTCGGCCCATTGGTTTTAGGTTAATTCGTCTTCGCGCGCCCCGCACTGACTGGACACGCCGTCGGCGCCTTCGCCTGCGGCCGCTGACTAAACAGAATCCCCGCTAGCCCATGCAGAAGCCCTGCCCACGAGAGCTGATGGGAAATGGAAAGCAAAGACGCATATATTGAAGCAGAGCGGTCAAAGAGAGGAGGGGGAGGAACGTGTTGAGCCATCTTGGAGGCTATCTTGGAGCATATGATGCCTTCTTTGAGCTATGGGGCGCCTTGGAGTCCTTTTGGGACTCTTTTGGGGCCTCTTGGGGCTCTTCGGGGGGTCTTGGGGTCTTCGTGGGTCTCTTTTGGGTCGTCTTGGGGCCCTCTTGGGGCCCCTCTTGGGGCCCTCTTGGGGCTCTCTTGGGGTTCTCCTGGGAGCTTCGGAGGGCCTCCAGGGGTCATCTTGGAGGCCATCGGTCACAGGATAGGGGGGTCCTAACGTTTGGTCCCCCCTCCAGGGCCATCGAACTAGCCTCTTGGGGCGCTCTTGTGGCCCTCTGGGGGCGATCTGAGGCGCTGCGAAGGCCGTCTTAGGGGTTTCTTGGGCCCTTCTTGGAGCTCTCTTGGAGCTCTCTTGGGCCATCTGGAGGCCTCAAAGCGTATCGGACGCGACACGGCGAGAAGGCCCACATCATTGTTTGCTTTTAAGGTGCTTGAAGGATATTGGTTTTTCGGTGAGGTCCTGAGGGGTCTCCAAAAACACTTGTATTCGTCATGTGGCCTTCTTGGGGCCTCTTGGAGGCATGCTGTTAGCTATCTTGAGCCATGTTGGGCTATCTTGAGCGATCTTGAAGGCCATCTTGGGCTCTCTGAGGCCCTCTTGGAGCCATCTTGGGCCATCTTGGACGTCCTGACCGCACGCGACCCCCCCGTCCAGGTCCACGGGAGGGGGTATGGGGGAGGGGTAAACCCCTCCCCGAGGGGTTCTTTTAGAAGAGGAACGAACAATCTCGTTAGACCGCCTGTCGCCCAGAGTGCTGGCGGGATTTCAAGCGAAGGCGTTGTGTGCCAACGTTTCTGGGATGGGCTCCCTCAGGCGTACCGCTTCGAAGCGCAGCGTCGTATTTTTTTTGCTGCCCAATGTAAAATCAGGGAAGGTCCTCTTGAGACAACGGCCGCTCCCGCCCAACCCAAGTCCGCTCAAAATCAATCCCTTTACCCCTCCCGAGTCTAGGTCCACCCTGAGCAGTTTTCGTTCGGCGCCGATCTAGCCGTGGCGAAGAACAGCTTCCAGGATGCCCGAAAACGACGGAGCACGCCAGGGAGTGCTGCGCTTGTCTGGACTGGCCCTCCTCAGAAGACTCGGGGGATCCGCCGCGCTGCTGACCCATGCCGAAGCATGTTCGGTGACCGCTGGCTCTGGGGCGAGCTCACCTGTCGTGCGTGACCTCGACTTGCGCACTGTCCTTCCGGCGCCCTCGCCGGTCGGAAGAGAAGAAATGTCAGGAGGAGGAGCAATGGCAGGACAGGGTGTGTTGTAGCAGGACCAGATGGCAGGAGGGATTTTGGTGTGCATTGTATCGCAGAATGTCAATAAGCGTAAATGCAGATCCTTGTCATCGATCGGACGTCTGCCTTTTTTCTCGGGGAGGGCCATCGATGAGCATCTTGGATCATCCTGCGGAAAAATAAGCGCGAAGCCGAACACTGCACGGCGAACGAGTGTCCGAGCGATGGCAAGAATCGACCGGAAGCCCGCGCGGATTTCCCCTGGCGGCGCCCCCGGCGCCCCCCCCTCTTTGGCCTGCGGAGCCAGCCGGGGGTCAGCGCCGCCCGGGGGAGTCCATCGCCGACCCGAGGAGTCCGCGCGGACCTCCGAACGCTGTCGTGTCTGTGCGGCCTGCGTGTCTCACCGAACGCGTTCCACTACTCGCAAAGTGCCTACTCGCAGACGTCCGCAAAGCACATGTCTGTTTTGATGTAATTTGTCGTAGATCCCCCGCGGGAGATCCATGCCATTGTCTTCAAGTGCGAGAATCGAAGGGGGGGGGCCAGGAGGGAGGGATGTCTCGGCCACAGGCGGACCGAGGTATGAGATCGAGGTCGGTTCGGGGAGGGTGCCCTGGTGTTTTTCGTGCTTGTCGGATGTTCTTGTGCGTCCTTGGGGGGGAACCCCTGGATGATCTGTTTGTTTTGGCCGACAGAGGATCTCATGCTCTTTAAGGATGCTCTTCGGCTCTAGGTCCGGCTGTACATGTAACCTTCACTGGAGTGACCTTTCGTGCGGGCCCGCCAGGGTCCCTCGATCGCCGAATGCGATGCGAAAGCAGTGTCTTGCGCGCCCGGGTCTGGGGCCCCCCGGGCCCCCCCGAAGCCGCGCAGCAAAGGTCACTCTTGCCGAGGGTCATTCTTGCGTGAGGTCGAGGTAGGGATTCCGGGAGCAGGAGCAGGAGAAGGACGACCCAGAGGAGGAAGAGGAGGATCGGGCGTTGCATTATGGGGGGGATCCATTGTGGGGCTTGGATTCCTGCACCTCTTGTGCGCTAGAGATGCACTACAGGGGCCCCCTTGGGCCCAAAAGGGGCACGAGCGGCGCACGTTTTCTTCGCCACCCCTTTGACGCCCACCCCTTCACGCAACGCCGAGGGAGGAGGAGGAGGAGGAAGAGGAGGAGGAGGAGGAGGAGGAGGAGAGAGAGGAGGAGGGAGGAGGCGGAGGAAGAGGAGGAGGAGAAGGAGGAGGAGGCGGAGGACGAGGAGGAGGAGGAGGAGGAGGAGGACGAGGAGGAGGAGGAGAGGAGAAGGAGCATGAGGAGGAGCAGCAGGAGAGGTCCGCCACGACGAGTGAGACGGAGGAGCAGCGGGCTTTTCCGAGAGCTGCGGCGGACAAACCGGGTGTGCGGAGCGTGGCCTCCCGCGCTCCGGCAGGGCCTGGCCTGTTGGATGAGCATCGGCCAGATCGGCGACGGGCAGAAGGACGGGGCCTCGGGCTCACCGGCCGCGTTCCAAGAAGGAGGAGGAGGAGGAGGAGGAGGAGGAGGAGGAGGAGGAAGAAGTGGAGGAGGAGCAGGAGGAGGAGTCTCCCGCCAAGCCCCCCCCCTCCCCCCCGTCCTGAACACCCGACTTTGTCGTCTGCGCAGATCCGAAGGGGATGAACAGTGTCTGGTGAGCGCGGGCATACATGGGGCTGCCCAGAGCGAGAAGGTCGGGTTATCGGCCGGTCCCACCCCCCCATCGTCGGCTATGCGTAAGGGCGGCCCTTCGCCGGAGTGACCTTGGGCGCCGCCCCACCAGGCCCTCCCAGCACCGGCCCGCGTGGCCCCCTGAAGTCGCGCACCAAGGGGCACCCCCGCCCAGGGCCCACACCCGCGTGTAGTCGACATCGGAAAGAGACATCTTGTGCTTCGATGTAGTGGATCGTGCATCCCCCGCGGCGGGCCCAGACCCTGTGCGAGCAGTTCGTTTATGCGAGTCGTGGAACGCGCTTGCCTGCTGGCAGGGCACCGGGAGGATGGCCAGTCGAGCTTCAATGCGCTCGCTTGCAGAACGTCTTCCACGGATCATCCTCTGAGAGGTGTTTGCCCTTGCCCTTAGTCGCGCCCGCTGCCTTCATGCACTTCATCGTCTTCGTGACCTTCATCGCCTTCGTCTTGCCCTTCGCCTTCGCCTTTGACGCGACGCTGACGTCCTTGAAGGATCTGGGCGTCATGGCCGTGCAAGACGCCGCTGCCAAGCGCTCAAGCTCGCTGCTCTCAACTCCCAGCGTCGTTTTCACAGCCGGCCTTGGGTCATCCGTCTTGCACGTCAGTTTGCGTCGGCCCGAGCCCTGCAGCAATGCGTTCCGACGTGGGTCCGTGCTGCTGAACAGCTCGTCCTTGTTGATGGGGCTGCTGTCGGTGTCTGAGTCATCCACCTCTATGGGATCTGCTTTCTCGATCTCCTCGCGCGTGGTCTCCACATCCGAGTCATCATAAACTGCTCCCAATCCGTAGCCATTTTGGCTCTCCGTAGCCATTTTGGCTCAAGGTTATAATGTACCTCGGCATTATAGCCTTGGTCGCAGCCGACGGGGAGGCCCGAGCAACTACCAGGGAGGCGCCTGGACTGTTCCTCCCACTTCGCACCTCTCGGCGCCGTTCCACCCAGATCTGAGCAGAGCAATGTCCATGACCAGCGCTCAGATGCAGGCGATGCTCAATACCCTCCAGACGGAGCTTGGCAGGAAGATGGATGCCGCACAGGCAGCCACTGATCTGAAGCTCGACAATCTGATGGGCCTCCACGATGGCCTGTCTGGAGAGATGAAGACCATGGAGGCCAAGTTCGACCAGAAGGTTGCCGAGATTAACATGTCCTTGGGAGAGCTGCGTTCACAGGTCAATGCATCACGTGCGGCGAGCTCATGTACGGCGCCCAGTGATGGCTCAACACTAGGATTCCCTCATATGGCAGGCGGAGATGGCAAGCTACGGCGTGGAGAAACCAGACCAAGTGATCCATGCAAGGGATTCATCGGCACCTTCCCGCGTACATTGTTGGGCAAAGAAATGGAGATGCACTGGAATACCAAGATAGTGCCAAATCTACCGCGGGAGGTGATTGAGGGCTGCAACACCAAATTCTCGGGGTCTGCAAAGAGCTACCAGCTTATCTTCACCAGCGAGCTCCTGGCGAAACGATTCCAGGATCTCACCTCGGAGGTGGACATCGACTGGGTTGATCGTCGCACTCGAGTCTCTCACAACATTCGCAGTCGTGCAGATCTGCCTCTGGATGTTCGTGCCAAATAGCGCGCGGCCTCTGTCATCTACGGCAAGACTCTGGAGCTCCTGAAGGCCGGCCCCCATGGTGATGTGATGTCCCACTGCAGGCTGGGCGTCAACGGCTACCAGGGCCTCATCAACCTGTACACCGACGATGAGGTATGGGAACTATTCACGATCCGTGGTAATGAGCAATGCGGCTACAGCTTCGACCCGAACACGACGAACCTTGAGAACTGGGGAGCGCGCAGGGACAAGGTTGAGGAATTGCTGGCCTCGATCACCCAAGACCCACGGCTTTCTGGCAACTAGAAGGGGCTGCTGCTGCACCATCGACCACAGAAGATCGACCTGACCATTTTGGTCCATGCGCGGCTATGGGGAGCCGTGCTGCTTCCGCTTCTCCTTCCCCCCCCATCGGCATCGGCCTCGACTCTGGCTACGAGTAGCCCTGAGGCCGTCAGTGACAGGCAAGCATGTACTCTCCGCTCTGTGCCTTGTGTCCCCTCCTCCCCCCTGTCTCTCGTGACCTGGAATGCCCGGGCTCTTTTTGGCAGCGCACATGGTGATCATAGGATTATTGCCTATAAATTTAAGCAGTTGTACAGACATACGAAACAACACGATATTGTGTTTATTCAAGAATCTCACGGCGATACTACATTCGTAAGCTACCCTATCATCGTATTTGCCCGTCGTATTGTCCTAGCGTTGCTGCTGGTGGATGTCTCACGATCGTGCGCGAGCGCGTGTGCGGGTTGTTCAAGCAGCTCTGGTTTTAAGAAGTTGTCCACGGCAGGCTTACTATTCTCCACGTGCGTTCTTGCGAGCAGGCTATGGCAGTAGCAAATGTGCATCTTGATCCCACTCTACCCTTCTCCCACAAGAAAGCGTTCCTTCAGCAGCTGAACCGTCGCCTTCCCCCACCGTCTCGATGTGCTAACTTTATCCTGGGTGATTTCAATTGTTCGGAAGCTGGTGAGGTCCGTCAACGTCTGGATGGTAAAGCTGAAACATGCAACTCTGGCCAGGCTAGATTTTTCTTGGAGCAGTTTCCTGGATATACTGAGCTGTACCAAACGGACCCCGCCCATAGGACTTACCAACAGGGAAACATCACGTATGTCGCCCGACCGGACAGGATAAACTCTTCACTGTATGCTAAAGAGATTATCGACCTGTGTCCTCTTGCAGGAGTATCGCGCGGGGTCTTTGATTGCCAGCTTCCGAGCGACCATGCCCCAGTATTTTGTGCACTACGGCATCCTGAAGTTAGATGTACTCCGCGTATTCCGTCGTCGGTGAGTCTATCGCCCCTATTTGCTAAGTGGCTTGAAGCAGAGCTTCGAGAAGTCGATTTGTCTACGCACCCGCCGACCCGTCTGGGGGAGGTTAAAACCCTTATGTTGTCGGTGCCCAGGAGAGTTCAGCGGAAGAAAGAGATTCTGGGACCTGGGACCGACCTGGCAAAACTTAGCTGGTGTCTAGCTCTGGTCCGAGGGGTTCGGCATGGGCGAACTCGATTGGTCCAGGGGGCGGTGGCTGCGTATCAGGTGCTGCAGCAATTTTTCTGTTCGGAGGCGTGGGGGTGGATTGATCGGGAAGGGCTTCATCTTCATCTTGCTTCTTTGTATTCTCGGCATTATAACAGGATGGAGGAGTTAAAGTACGTGACGGGCGGGTTGCTCGAATTCGTGAGCTTGCTGCAGCATGGCCTCCCTCGCACAAGCGGATTACGCTTCAGGCTATCACGGGCCAGTTTGGCACCCAGCATCACGACCCGCAGATTTGCGCGCGCATCCTTGCTCGGTGCTGGGGGGAAGTGTCAGCTCACCAGCCTGTTGCAGTGGATCGTTTTCCCCGATATCCTGCCCACGTTCAACCTGCCCCTTTCTGATGTACAGTGGCAGGTCTCATTCACGGGCTTTCAAGACCTGCTTAACAAATGTCGTGACTCGTCCCTGGGTGGGGGTGGAGTGCCCTATAGTGCTTGGCAGAACGGAGGTGGCCTTGCCCAGCTAGCGCTATTTGATATGTATCTATTCGTATGTGACGGTAACCCTGTTCCAGCCGATTTCGTGGAGAGCATTGCTGTCTTCCTTCCGAAAGGGGACCTCGGGGATCAACTTGAACAGGTACGTAATCCTGAAGCTACGCGTCCCCTACCATTGTCTAGCACCGACTGCAAGGTCATCGCCGCCTGTCTCGCATGGCCGATGGCGGACTATGCCGCGCGCTGTGTCCACCAGTGTCAACGCGGCTTTGTGAGAGGCCGCCAGCTGCTGGACAATGTCTTTCAATTAGATGATGCTGGAGCAGCCTTCCTGGACGTAAAGGCGGCCTTCCCGAGTATTTCGCACGAGCGGGTCTTTGCAGTCTTGGAGGCAGCCCAGTTTCCTTCGTGGTATGTTCATGTGGTGAAGAATATGTATTCTGGTGTTTGTATGCGGGCCCGCTTCCGCGGGCGCCAGGACCAATGGTTTTTCCTTGGAGCGTGGAGTGGAACAGGGCTGCCCAATGTCAGGTGTCATATTTGCAGTGGCAACTGACTGTATCAACAGATATGCACTCCAATGTTTGAAAACTGACATGTCTGACTTCCTGGTCTTCGCTGATGATCAGGGCATTGTCGTGCACAACATCTTTATCGTGCTTCCCAAAGTCCTTTGTGAGCTTGCACTAGCATCCATGGTGACTGGTCTTGTTATTCATCCTTTTTTATAAAAAACGTACATTGTTCTTCCTCGGGAATTTGATCTGGACGTGGCTCGTGAGAAGTTTAGGGCTCATGGGCCCCTGGCCGAAATATATTCAAAATCGCGCAGGCCGCGAAGTACCTAGGTATCGACATAGGGTTGGATGCGAGAGAGCTCTCTTGGGCCAAGCCAATTCAGGAACATCAAGAACGTTGCCGTCACAGTCGTGGTCTTCAGCTTGGCCTAAGTATGAGCATGCTGACGTATAACATCTCCACCCAGCCTGTGTTGAGCTATGTTGCCCAGTGCCACACCGTCACGAGCAGTCTGCTGAAGGCATAGCGAGAAGGGCTTCAGTTGCTCACCGCTGCTCCGAGACACTCATTCAGCCCCGAGATACTATACCAGCTCAAGGACTTTGGGCTGTCTCACCAACCTCGTCCGTTTGCTGCTGTTGTTCACTCTGCTTTATGCCGTGCAGGTCTTCTGAGCGAGGCATTTCAGATGAGACTACAACAAGTTGAACAGATCTTGGCTGGAACGGATTGGGTGGCTGCGTATAAGTGGATGCCATTTTCTCGGGACTCGGTCTTCTTCCAGGTGGTGAATCAGCTTAACCTCCTGGGGACTCAGGGTGATGTGTTCCAGGATCAGGACCATGACTTCCAGGCCGAGATCTTCTCTAAGGTAGTGGCAAAAATGTACGCTCCGCCTACCAGTCTTCTGCTTCCTAGGCTTCGATATTGGAATTCTCAGGCGTCGATGGACCAAGCTGACCGCATCAGACTTCAACTCAATATTCTCGCTTCGAAACTCCCCGACTCGTGCGCTATCGCTACACTCAAAGCGCTCGTTAACGCATGGCCCACCTCTCGTCGATATCGCCAGGGAGCCCAAGTATGTCGGTTCGGATGTCACGCTGGGGGAGGCCGCTCTGTAGAGCACTACTGTGAGTTGCCCCATAATTCGTCCTGTGCTCACCCGCTGCCTTCGTTTCCTCCCTGCAGAGTCGGGAGACGGGGACCACTTGCCTGCGCTGTGCTTTGCCGATCTTCCATGCCCGTCCAAGTCTCGAATTTGCTCGATTGCCATCGCTTTTGACTTTCTCTTTTCTGCATTCAACTCCCTCCGCACTCGTCACATAGTGTCATCGGAGGTTGGGGTGCGTGCGCTCGAGAGCCGCCTCAGAGCTCTCTGCACTAGCTCCCGAGCTGCACGGCTGCTGGCTCAGGGGAGGGACCCGTTCCAGCTGCCCGACCAGGCCGCGTAGCTCGCACCGTGCCGCTGCTGCTGCACTGCTGTGGTCATCACCTGCCGTCCGCCGAGTGCTGGTCATAAACTGCTCCCAGTGGCAGCGCAGCAGACCTTGGAGTACCAGTGGGCTTCTCGTTGACCTTCAGGTTGTCCCACAGAACTGCGAATGTAGCCCTCAACGCTGCAGGCGCACTCCTTGCGTTCGATGTATGATTGAGCGTTTGGCCAAGAAGGGTCCTGATTCCGAATATGACAACGTCCTTTTTCGGCGTTGGCTCGGTCGTGGCCGCGCTCCTCAGTCCAGTTGGTCAGATGCTTTAGCACATCCTTTTGATGCAGATCTTTACCATCTTTACCATATTGAGGGTTTGTATACGCTTCGCACCATTGGAATATTTAGGGGTTTGTTTGAATTCTTTCTCCTGGTACATCAACTTCGGAGAAGCAACAGCAATTTGTGGCAACTCATCAAACGCAAGGCATGCTTTCTCGTAAGGAATGTCAGCAGTGCTTCCGTTCACCTTCTCAGTGGCAGCCATACGGAAAGCCTTCGAGCCTCAAATGGCTACTGAGATCGCGTGCAATCACGGATCCACAGACCACGATGACCGCGCGAACATAACCACGAATTTCGCATAAGATGTTTGACATTGTCTCAGCGACAGAATTGTCGTACCGGTATTAGCTTACATGGTTATGTTGGGGTATGCCATGGTGTTCCCGATTGATTGCCGTTACGCACGCGCACTTTCGTGCAAGTACAACTCACACACGCGCGTTGTTTGTACCACACACGCGTCTTCGTAATGGTCGTCTACGAGGCTCGGGGGAGGAGAATGGTGGAGGAGGAGGAGGAGGAATGATAAGATAGAGGAGGAGGGTTCGGAGGTCAGGAAGCGGGACGGAGGAGGGAGGGGCGAGGGGGGGCGCACGAGTTTGGCAATGCGTGAGAAGACGGGAGGCAGGGCATGAAGAGGATGAGCAGAGGAGGCAGAGTGGGCATGAGGAGGAAAAAGGCGACGACCAGCGAGGCGGACGTCGGAGGGGGAGCAGAAAGAGGGGAGGCGGAGGAGGAGGAGCAGCAAACGCAGCTGGAAAGGAGGAGCAGGAGGATGGAGTGATACAGGATGGGGAGGGGCGAGAGGAGGCGGAAAAGGAGGAGTAGCTGGAGCGGTGAAGCGGGGCAGGAGCAAAAGGAGAAGCAGTAGGGAAGAAGATCGACAGGAGGATGAGACGGGCAAGGAGAGGAAAAACATGGTTGAGGAGGAGGGGGAGGAGGAGGACCTTCATCCAGTACACTGTAGCCAGTTGGTGATGAAGCTCGAGCGACCTAACAACGTGGTACGTGCCTTCATGCATCCAGTAAGGTGGAAAAGGAGAAGGAGGAACACGATCAAAGGTGTGAGTGAGGAGGAGGAGGAGGAGGAGGAGGAGGAGGAGGAGGCGGAGGAGAATGAGGAGGAGCATGTTCCAAGGTGTTGCTCAGGGGAGCGGGAGCTCCGGCGAGGCCTTGGGGGCCTCTTCAACGGTGCGGTGACCACTTCGTGTGGTGAGTCAGTGGGGAAAATCGGGTTGACCGCACGGTGTTCGGACCAGGGCCTCCGGGGCCGGCACACGGTGCGACGACGGGCCGTGCGGTGAGGCTTTTGGTGACGGTCTCCGAGGTAGTCGCACGGCCCGTCGCCACACCTTTTCTGGACGCCCGAGTGGAAATCGGCACGCGCGATATGGGTACGGAAAGAATGGGTACAATGCCCAACAGCAGTTCCTGTTCATTTTGGACAGGGCTCGATGTCGGTGTCGCCGCGGCCTGTAACAATTTGAGACAGAGGGCCGCCTGCCCAACAGCGGCAGTTGTCGGTTTGGGACAACCTTTGTTGTTGGGCATTGTGCCCACTGTTTCCGTGCCCATTTCGGGCGTCCAAAGGAAGGAAGGTTATCGGTGCTGGGCGCGAACGCGTGCGGTCAGGGGCAGCGGAACGGCGCGCGGCGCGCGGGATCCCTCACAGACAACGGTCCGAAGCCGAGAGGACGACGGCTGGCCACGAGGGGGAGGGGCCCCGACGGCAGGGGGACCGGGACCTCGGGGCTGTCCCGCCCAGGGCAGCTTGTCTGGGGCGCGGCGGCGCGCAGGGCTCCAGCCTGAGTAGCTTGAGTCGGGCGTGTCCCTCTACAGGGAATACAGCCCAGCCACAACTGGGGGAGCTGTGGTCCTTACCCCCCTGGGGGACCCATCGATTTTGACATCCCTCTCGACAGATCGTCGATGCGATGGGTTCCCCCAAGGGGGTAAGGACCACAGCTCCCCCAGTTATGGCTGGTCGGGAATATTCACAAGTAGTCAAATCATAGTCCGGGGACGATTTTTCCATTATTTCTTTGGGATTCGTCTCGAACATTTCTTGACTATGTTTCACTGTTTGTCCAACATCCGCCTGTAGGGAGACATGCCCGACCTAACTGATAGCCCCAGAGGTCTGGACCCCTTCCCCGGGACAAGTTTTTCATCCTCCCCCGTTTCCTGTCGGCCCTGGGGCTGGGCGAGGGCCCCACACTGGCGAAGGCCGCCCCGCCCGTGCCTTTTTGCGACACGAGGGGGGTATGGATATGGACACGCTCGCCGCTTGCGCAGACGTTCGCGCCCCAGAGTTCAGGCCGCGCGTGCGTGGACAACGGGTACAGTGGAGCCGCGTCGTGTCGGACGGCGGCGACCCCGCCGCCGGCGTTCCACGTTGAACGCCGACGCCCGCGGCGGCCCAGAATCGGTCGACGTTGAGCGATGTGACGTTTCGGAAACGGCCGATCGTCCAAGGTTGAAATGACGGGCGAAGAACGGTGTACCATAGATTTTGCCGTCGTCGGGGGCGCCTGTCCCAGGGCGGCTGGACAGTTTACATCCTCACGGTGGCACGTGAAGGCAGAATGAATTCTCCAGCCGCCCCGGGGCGGCGCCCCCGGCGACGGAAGAGTTCCTCGTACACCGCTTTTGCGCTCGCTACTGGGACGACCCCCGCGGTGCCGGGAACCAGCGCTGGGGCCGACGCGACACGAGCCTGCCGTATGATCGCCGCTCGGGAGCGGTCGGCGCCGACTTGAGCCGGCGCCGCCGTCGGAGGGCGGCGTGGCCCGGCGTGAGGACGGCGAGGCCGTCGTCGTACTGCAGCGCGGCGTGTACAAGGGCCAGCTGGTCGGGGGCGAGGCCCACGGCCAGGGCACCTTCGAGGCCGCCGAGGGCGACGTGTACCAGGCCGCGGGCGCAAGCGGCTCGGCCACCCTCATTCGACCCTCCGTCTCACTCCGCGGCGCAGTCGTGCCGTCGTGGTGTGCAGTGCTTGAGGGTGGAGTTGTGCATCCTTGGCGCGTTGCGTGGGGGAAACAAGTGCCAGGCCGCGGGGCCCAGACTTGGCACCGTCTATGGGGGTCCGAGGTGGCCCAGCACTGGCTCTGGCCCGCAGAAAGGGCGGGCAGTTCCGAGGTTCTGCATTCGGGGAGGCCTTTTTGATGCTCTTTCGGCCTTCAGGGGCTGGTTTCGGGCCCTGGGATGGTCAGAAACGGATCCTGGGCGACATTTTCCACCAGATGTAGCCCGGGAGGGGTTCAGGGACCGATTTTGAGCGGTTCTGGCCGCCTCTCCGCCTCCTGACCGACTTGCTGGGGCCCCAACCAGTCCAGACACCCCGGCCGCCTCCTCCTCCTCCTCCTCCTCCTCCTCCTCCTCCTCCTCCTCCTCCTCCTCCTCCTCCTCCTCCTCCTCCTCCTCCTCCTCCCCCTAGTCCTCCTCCTCTTCCTGGTCCTCCTCCTAGCCCAGATTTCCGACGATGCGCTTGGGTTCAACCCCGGCGGTTGCTCCTCGATGTCGGCCTCTCGGGCCCGTCTTCGAGCCCTGGGGACAGCATTGATGGGCCGGGAGGGCCCAGGGGCTCCAAGCATGTGGCCGCTTCGCGTAAATATTTGCGCTGCGCGTGAATACGTTCGCAAATGTTTGCGCTGTGCGCAGCGCTGGGCGAACCGAAAGCAGACACAGGAGACGTGCCTCGATACCTTGGGAACTCCGTCCGTGCCAGATTGTCCTGGAACTCTGCGGAGGCGGTGGTTTCCGCGGTGGTGGGTCAAGAAGGTCCAGAGCGAACGAAAAAAAGACCCCTGGGGCCGCGGAGTGGGCAGCGCACACTGGCGGATGTCTAGGAGGAGGAGGAGGTGGAGGAGGAAGAAGAGGAGGAGGAGGGAGGAGGGAGGACTGAAGAGGGAGGAGGGAGGAGGAGGGAGGAGGGAGGAGGAGGAGGGAGGAGGAGGAGGAGGAGGAGGAGGAGGAGGAGGAGGAGGAGAAGAGGACGATGACGAGGACGAGGAGGATGAGGAGGAGGAGGGAGGAGGAGGAGGGGAGGAGGAGGAGGAGGAGGAGGAGGAGGAGGAGGAGGGGGGAGCGCGCCTCCGCGCCCGCAGCGCGCCCCTTTCGCCCACCTCATCCGTCGGAGGCAACGTCGGGCAGGGGGAGGCTCGGGCTCGAGCTTCGAGGCTCGAACCTCCTCGATCCTCCTCGATCCTTCTCCTCCTTCTCCTCGATCCTGGCTCCTCTCGCCTCCTCCTCCTCCTCCTCCTCCTCCTCCTCCCCCTCCTCCTCCCCCTCCTCCTCCACCTCCTCCTCCTTCCTCCCCCTCCTCCTCCTCATCGATCCTTTCCCTCCTCCTCCTCCTCCTCCTCCTCCTCCTCCTTCTCGATCCTCCTCCTCGAGGTGTGACGTTGTCGGGCGTTCACGGCGGTAGTCCATTACAGCCTCGGGATGCCTTCAGCGGCTGCGCTGCGCGTGTCCGAGGGCGTTCCAGGGCGGCCCGGGCCGTCCCGAACGGCCGCCATAATGCCAAGCCATGGCCTGAAAAAGACCAGACGACGCAGGGGCAACGCTCGGGAAGGACATGCTCAGAGGGGATCAATCGGCCCCCCGATCGCCCAGTAGGGTAAGGTAATACATGTCGAAGAAAAGCAAGCGGGAGGAGGAGGAGGAGGAGGAGGAGGAGAAGGAGGAGGCACTACAGACGCTATTGGGATGTGGGGCCGGGAGGGGCACGACAGGCGTTACTGGTAGGTGGGCAGGAGGAGGAGATAGTCCACGCGCGAATAGGGTCATGAACGGGGGCATGAGGAAGAATCCATCGGGTCGTTGCTGTGGTTGTTATCGTCGTCAGCGTTGTTGTTGGCGTTGTTGTTGTCCTCTTTCTTTCTCGTTCCACCCCCCTGCTCCTACTCTAGCTCGTCCCGCTCATTCTCAGCCCCGCACCCCGCTCCAACTGTACGCAATGACTGATAAGTTGTCCTATTCATGCTCCTGCTCATTGTTCTGCTCGTGTCAGCTGCCCCAGGTCCTGGGTCCTCGGTCCTGGTCCCAGTTGCTGCTGCCGAAGGGAAGGGAGAATGGAGAGAGAATTTAGGGGCAGAGCCAGGAGAGCAGGTCCTCGGTCGATTCGATTCGATACCGATGTCGGCCATTTCGATCTGATTTGGATGAACACTCCATCGATCCGATGCGGTCTGATGCATGCATGAGCACTGTAATGCACCCTGGTGCTGCCGATCCAAGTCGATTCCGTCCCCGTTCCGATGCGGTCCGATCAGACGCACATCCCGATTCGATGTTGACTGGTCTTTGAGAGTGGGATGTTGATGGGGATGGCCCTGTTCTTGCCCTCGAGAAGAGGGCGGGGAGGGGGGCTGGGCGGGTGCAGGGTCTTCCTCCTCCTCCTGGGATTTTGCCTGGGATTTTGCAAAGGCCTACACCGTTCAAGACCTCCAGCTCGGCCAGGGCCACGAAGTTGTCGACGTGGCCCGACGTGCTCGGGCACCGACTCATCCCACTCGATTCGAGGTCGAGGAGGAAGGGGCGAGGATAGATGAAAACCTTGTGCCGAGGAGGAGGGAGTGGGCGTGCACTGCTGGCGACTCTAGGACAGCGTCGACGTCGTGTCGACTGGGGACAACGAGCACTAGACTTGACGGTAGCAGTCGTGACCCGCCTGGAAATTGAAATATGGGTCGAGAGGGACAAAGAAATCCTGGAAAGCCGAGGTCCCCAGGTCACTTCCCCAGGGATCCCAGGCCCGGCTGAGCCTCGACACTTGGTGCCCAAGGAGCACCTTGGCGAGCAAAAGCGAAAAGGCCGACGGATAGCTTTTCAGCTCAGCAGTGCGCCAGCGGCCGTGCTCATCACGGCCCGCTGCCGCTGGGTGGCCCCCCTCATGCCGGCAGCGGCCGCCCAGGGGGTCCGCGTCCACGGCGAGGCGGAGCTCGGGGGCGTTCACCGCCAGGAGCCCCGTCGGCTTCCTCGCCTGCGCGCCGTACGCGCACTGGTCCACCTGCACGTAGTCCACCCCAGGGAGCTCGAGCGCCCATGAGATCTCGGGTGTCTCCCAGGAGGAGATGCTCTGTGGCCTCCAGGGTGCTGGGGCTGGATGCTCCATCAGCCCTGTGATGCCCAGCGGGCGGCCGATCAGGAGCAGCAAAAGGCAGGAGCGGAGCAGCGCGTTGCCCAGGTCGATCTGCTGCCTCTCCTTCTGGGACACGCTGCCGATGCCCCAAGGCCTGCTCCTCGTCCTGAGGGGTCTCGGCTGTCTGCCCCCTCTGCCATCATCCAACCATCTGGCTGGGCACCAGGTCTCGCAGGGAGGTCCTCCTACCACCGCGCACACATGCCCTGCCAGCATGGCTGCCTTCCAGAACGTGAGGTTGTCATTCTTGGTCATGTCCCCTCTGTCCGCATTGTTCTGCACGTCCAGGGAGAGCACCATCAAGGGGACTGACCATTCTGCTGCTAGCTTCTCCAGGTGATCCTGGATGTCATTGGGTCTCCTGTGGCCACTGAAGAGGTGGAGTACCAGGTTACAGTGCCACATAGTCGGTCTGTCCACTGTCGAGGGGTACACTGTCTGCTGGTGATCAAGGCAGTCCTCGTCAGCTGGTGCTGCTGGCGGGCAAGCTGGCTCGAGAGGGCTGGCCCAGGTCGGTATCGTCGTAATCCAATATGGGTCTGGGTCCTTCGGCGGCATCATGGCCTTAGCCGCCCTGAAACCACAACTTTTGAGCTTTCTGGTATCTTCTGCCATCTCGACATCAGCTGCTGCCAACTCTTCGTCATTTAAAGGAACAACTGTGGCACGACAATGCTCCATACATCTGAGGCTTCTGTACTTGAGATGTCGAAGAAGTCCAGCACGGGTGTGGAAGTCCTTGCCACAGTTCGAGCAAAGCGTCCCTCTAATATATCGGTCGTCATCACGCTGTGCATGCACGACTGTGCGGTGCCTCTTCCACATGCCCCGTGTTGCCAGTATTTTGCCACAATCATAGCAGATGAAACCTTGTCCTCGTTCGGGTCGATCTGCCTCCACGAAGGGCGGGGGTGGCAGCCCCGCCTCCTGGGCCAAAGATCTGAGTTGTCTCTGCCAAACGCCATGCCTGAAATACTCCATCTGAGATGCATGTGCTCTGCGTTCCACTCTCTTGATCAGGTTCATGGCCTTGGCATACTCCCAAACTCTGAAGGCGTGAGTCCAGGTGCGTATGTCCTGACGCTGCTCCAGTGGAATCTCATCAGTAGAGACAAACTCACCAAGCCAAATCAGATCTTCCCAGATCAGGACATTCCAGCTGCCTTTCTCCTCCCAGAGTAGATCAACGAGGCGCAGTAGCTGCTGGTCACCAAAGAACAATAGTCGCATAAGATGCCGCAGGCGCCTTGTGCGGAGGATGATCTGCCAGGAGGACTTGTCTGCGTCTAAAAGAACCTCCTCATCTCGCCAGCGAGGTCCATCAGGTATGTGCTGCTTGCCCACCGCAGCGCGGTAGGCGTTGACGTACTTGGCAGCGACTTGCGAGTCCAGCCTGGTACCCAGCGCACCCCATATTTCTGCATTGAAAGTGAGAGTACTATCGCAGAGGGCGCTGGTGAGCGTGATCTTAACCTGTCTGTCCACATCCTGGATTTGGTTGACCGTGATCCTCAGAGGGCCCGCTGCTGCCGAGTGCCCCTTGCACCTGCGGGCCATGTTGGGTCCCTCACATCCTTTAGTATCCACGACCGTGCCCAGGTTGACCGCCGTCTCCACAATCTGCAGCTGATGGTCCAGGCCATCGTGCCATAGGTAAGCCGGGTGACTGGTAAGCAGGCGGGCCCTTGCTTTTCTGGCACGCGGGCCAAAGAAGCCTATCAATATCTTGGTCTTGGCCAGGTTAAGAGTGAAACCAAAGATGCAGATG